TCCATTGAGGAGCCTGGCTGGCTAAGTCAGTAGACCATGTGACTCTTGATCTTAGGGTCGTGAGTTTGAGCCCCAGGTGTGGCATACAGTTTACTTAAAGTAAAAAAATTAATTAAAAATAAATAAACTCCCATTATTTCTGCATCCCGATAATCTTCTTACATTCTGCCTTTGTAGACCACCTAGATAACAGGCCTAAATCTGGGATGTGGCAGTGGCAGACCAGAAAGTAAGAAAAAATAAAGGAACCCAAAATGATGGGATTTCCAGCCTGGATCACCAAGGTGAGAGAGACTTACGAGGATTCACGAGGATTCACGGGTATGAAGGGGGAGGAGTAACAAGCCAAGTTAACCATGACAGGCACGTACCACCCGCCTTGTTTCTCTGGAAACACCCAGAGGGGCCAGAAGAAATGAGCCCGAGGGTTCAGAAAGCAAGTCAGAGCAAGAGCTGTAGATTTAAGGATGCTCAGCATCAGGTTCAGAATTGAAATCATGGGAGTGGATGACAGTACCAGTGGAAGATAAACTGAATGGAGAACAAGGCTTCTGGAACAGGAGGAGGAAGAGAGAGAAAAGGGAGATCCAGGGACACCTGGGTGGCTCAGTCGGTTAAGCGTCTGCCTTCAGCTCAGGTCATGACCCCAGGGTCCTGGGATCGTCAGGCTCCCTGCCTTCTCCCTGTCCTCCCTGCTCTTGCTCTCTCTCTCAAATAAATAAAATCTTTAAAAAAAAGAAAGAAAGAAAGAAAAGAAAAGGGAGATCCAGCCACAGAGCACAGGAGGAATAGAGAAAGCTAGGAGGGGAACGCCACAGTGCCAAAGGATGCCTAAGAGCTGAGCAGGAAGGGACCAAAGGACTCAGCAACTGGGAGGTGTCAGGACTTTTTTGAGATAAGTTCCAGCAGAGAGATAAGTTCCAGCAGACAGAAGTAAGAAACTAAGGAATGAATGCATCCGAGTCTCTTCTTGAGAAGATTAAGGGAAGAAATGAGATCATAGGGAATTCCCTCCAATTGTATTTGAGAAAAGGGGCTGCGTATGTTTTATAGGCAGAGAGTGAAGAAGCCTGGGAGAGGAGAGATACTAAGCATGTGGCAGACAGAGTAACGGTCCCCCAGAGAGGTGCAGTTCTAATCCCTGTGAATGCTATGTTGACATGACAAAACATTATTGTTTGCTCATCGGATAAAATAGTAAGATTATCTTAGATTCTCTGGGCAGGCCCAATGTAATCAAACAGTGCTTAATAATAAAGATGGAAGCAGAAGACTCAGCATCCAAGTGATGTCCAAGTGAGCAAGACTTGG